CAGAGAGACGGTGCCGTGGCTAGGAATACTCGCTGCTCTTACAGAGAGACGGTGCCGTGGCTAGGAATACTCGCTGCTCTTACAGAGAGACGGTGCCGTGGCTAGGAATACTCGCTGCTCTTACAGAGAGACGGTGCCGTGGCTAGGAATACTCGCTGCTCTTACAGAAGACCCGCGTCCAGTTTTCAGCACCCACAAAGGGCAGCTCATAACCACCTCTAACTCCAGATCCAGGGGGACTGGATACCCTCTGAGGGCCTCTTAGGGCCCTGCACATACCATACATGGCATGCATATACAGACAGATGGACAGACGGACAGACATTTTCTCTCTTTCTCTCTCTCTCTCTCACACACACACACACACACACACACACACATTCCCAACGTACCATTAGCAGGTTAACAGTGGTTAGACAACTGGATAATGTCAGGGGAGTCTGGACAGGGCAGCCCGTTATCACAGGATCCCAGTGTAGCACACTTGTGCTCCATTAGCCACGGTGCAGTCTTGAGTGGATGCCCAGAGAAGAGATCACAAAGACATTTGAGGGACATCCTGGTTAGGACAAAGGTGCTTTGCTTTTTTTTTTTTTTTTTTTTTTTTTAAATGTAATTGCCCTCGCTCAGCTTCCAGCATCTCTAGAGCAGGACTGGGCAGAAATGGGATCTTGATATGCAGGCAAGTATGTTCCTGGAGAATATTTTCTTTTTTAAAAAATTCCTCTTCTGATGAAGTGCTTTCCCCTGAACATCCATCAGAAGAAAGGCTTCTCAAGGACTTCATCAAGGTTCCAGAGGGTTAGATTAGAGTCTATCATGACAGGGGCACCGTGGCAGCAGGCAGCTGAAGCCTGAAGCCGGGAGATCACACTTTTGAAAAGCATAGCCCAGGTAGTCTAATAATGCCCGTCTTATAGATACTCTGGCAATTGTTCAGATCACAAGAATAGATGTCTCAGCAGTTCCAGTCTGTGCTGGAGTTCTGGGAGACTCCTGGAGAACTACTGATCTCCAGTCTACTTTGGAATCTTAAAGAAGCCGAGTTTAGTCCCGGCTGTGGCAACAGCATAGATGGGTGTCCCGGTGAGAATGGGGGCAAGCTGGCCAAAAGGAAAGCTTCCTTCTGCCCAGTCCTTTTATGTGGGCTGCACCAGAAGGTAGGACTTCCTGATTCAATTAATCTGATGAAGAAAATCCCTCACAGGAGTGCCTGGACTCTTGGGGTCTAGTTGGTTCCAGATATCATAGAGTTGACAACCAAGATTAACCGTTACAAGGGCTTAAAGCCAGTGTCTGTGTAGCCATTGTTGGGTCAGTAGTGCATATTCACCCATGAGAAAACGAACGGGCAGACAGGACATACACAAAAGGAGACAATTGTAGCTGCCAGAAGTAATGACATAGATGGGAACACAACAATGTCTATGGGCCTTGAAATGTGCCAGACTAGTAGGATAGCTCAGTGGGTAGAGACACCTGCCTATGAATCTAACGACATGAGTTTGATCCCAGGACCCACAGGGTGGGAGAAGGAAGCTGATTCTAGGTTTTCTTCTCCCCCCCCCCATGTACACACACACACACACACACACACACACGATAGATAGATAGATAGATAGATAGATAGATAGATAGATAGATAGATAGATAAAAATATCCAAAAGAATCCTGCTTTGAGAGGGGTAGACAAAAGATTTTAGCCAACTATGTTTTGTGCATTTTTCTTAAAGCATCATAAAGAGCCAAGGATCTATCGTTCAGTTTAGAGTGCACACCTGGCATTTTCAGGCCCCTGTATTTCATCCATCTCCTTAGAAAAGGAAATAAAGAAAACCAGAGACTGCTCCGAAACAATGTGTGCCTCATCCAGACTTGTACAGAAATGAGGTGGCATCAAGCAGGGTGTTCAGACTGCCAATTGCGAGGAAAGAACAAAAGAGAAACGGCTCAGAGGGAAATCAAACAGAAAAGCAAAAACAGATTGTGCAAAGACTAGAAAATGCTCTGAACACTGGAGTAAGTGCCTGTGTCTCAGCCTTCTGCACCTGGGGCCCAGTTGAAGAAAACAAAACAAGGAGAGCGGCTGCGCGGGATTTGGCGGGGACGCTACCTCCAAGCTGGGAGCAGATGAGTGCAGACAGTCCACTTGCTTGAAGGAAGCTAATTTTTTCCTTGGGTGGGATGGAGGGTGGGGGTGGGAGAATGGGGAAATCAGCAGGGAGTCAGCCTAGGGAAGAGGTGAGTGAGAATGCTAACAGTAAGTGCTATCAGGAACATTGAGGGCCTCACCGCATAGAAAAGTCCCCTAAATCACACTAAAAAAAAATTTCCCTGCCGATCCAGTATCAGGGTCTGTGGGGAGCTGTCTGTGCCCACTCTGGAGCCCCACCCCATCGATGGGAAGTAACGAATGAAGGGAGCTTTTCCATCCCACTGTCAGAAAGGCCAAAGCAACCTGGGGAAAGAGGTGCCCACACTGCGCTGAGCAGTAATGGCTGAGGTTGCAGACAGGAACAAGCCAGCTGCAAAGCCCAGAGGCCCAGAGTGGGGAATGTGAGGGAATCTGCTTTGAGGCAGAAAGGCCAAAGAGGCATGTGAGCTGGGAGTGGTGGCACATGCCTGGAATTCCAGCGCTGGAGAAGTGGAGGCAGGAGAATCACTTCAAGGCCATCATATAAGTTTGCTTATCATTATTCAGCCAGTGGGATGAGCTTCGGAAAGCAGGGCTGGGGAGGGAGGGAAAACTCATTCAGTGTAGGATAAAAATGGAACTCTGTGTGTGTGTGTGTGTTTGTGTGTGTGTAGATCAGAGGAAACTTGTGAGAATCAGTCCTCCTCTTCTGTGGTGGGCTCCAGGGATCAAATCAGACTTGGATATCAAGATCTTTTATGAACGTAACTATCTTGCCAATCTTACCACATTTTTAAGGGAAATGTTTTCAGAAATGTAAAGGCTGGAAAAATCCGAGACACGAACACACAGGTGCGTGGAAGGAAATGAAAGGTCGAGTCCAGCTGTTATTCCTCAGCTGTCCTCCTTGTTCTCCGAGACAGTCTCTTGTGGCCTGGAACTTGTGTAAGCGAGGCTTGTAGAACTCCAGGGATCCACCTGTGTCGCCTCCTCAGCACTGGGATCACAAGGACAGACCAGCTGGACCCTGACTCTCCCGTCCTTCTGCTCTTGTCACCTCTCAAGCTTGTAGCGGCTCACACCTGTGGCTCCAAGTTCTTGGAAGGATAATCAGGACTGCCTGATTAATGACCAGCCTGATCTACATAGCAAGATGTGGGTCCTTCTGGGGTACATAGTGAGAGCCTGTCTCAAAAAAAAGGACTGTCTATAAATGCACCGTCTCAGGAGGGTTAAGACTGTAAGACCAAAGAATGCAGAGCATGCTGGGCTACAGGGAGTTCAAGGCTACACTGAGAGACCCAGTGAGAACCCAGTCTCAAAAGCAGATGGTGGCACATACCTGTAACCCCAGCATTGGTTAGGCTAAAGCTGGTCCAGGAGTCCGAGGCCAGCCTGGGCTACATGAGACCCCATCTGAAAGCGGGGTTGGGAGAACTAGGAGTTCAGTGGCAGGGTTGCTAGGGTGGCCCTGGGTTCAGTGCTCAGCATGTGTCCAGCACGTGTCCCATTTTCGCAGGCATTTGAATATTTGGTCCCCAGTTAGTGCTGCTGTTCGGTGGAGCTTAGGGAGGTGTGGCTTTGTTGGGGAATGTGTCACTGGGGGCAGGCAGAGCGTTTAAGGATTCACACCCTCTTTACTGTTTCTGGCTTGAGGCTCTGCCTCTGCTCTCAGCATCTGATCTGTTTCCTGCTGCTGCTGGTTCCTGGCGTTTATCACAGCCATAGAAAGCAATCACAGGATCTGACCCCCAACAGGCTTTTAGTATTCCAGAATCCTTCTCCATGGATACCGAAAGATAACACAACACTCCAAATGTATTGATCCCATCAATGATTGATCAAACTGGCCCGGAAGCTCTAACTTGCCCCAAAGATGACCACTCTTTAAAAATGCTCATTTTAAAGATCCAATCACACACTGAATATTTTGAAAAAAAAAAAAAGTTAAAATTTATTAATAATAGTTAACATCACATGGTTAATTCAACTAGTTCTCTACTGTACATGGTGACAAAACACTCACTAGACCGAGTGCCCTGGGATCTGAGATGAGTCAAAGGTTCAGTGACTATCACACAAAGCAGCTTAGCAGAGAGGGCTGTCAACCTAGTGCTGGGAGCAGCCAGCCTCACGCTAGGAACACAGCACACTGTCTCATGCTCTGGATTGAAAGCCAACTTCCCTAAAAGCTACACACACACACACACACACACACACACACACACACACACACACACATATACACACACATCTCCACCTTTAAAAAAAAAAAAAAAAGAGAGAGTCCTTTCCTAGATGGTGCTTGATTTTAAAGTTTAAAATTCAAGATCCAAAAATTTAGTCAGAATCCATCCGCACTCCGTGGCTACCCTCTAGTGGTGCACACATCCATAGGTGGCTTTGGCTTTCAGTGGTCTGCTAAGGTAACTGCAGGTTGAGGGAGCTACCCCAGATAGGCAGTGCCAGCCTGGAACGCATCGAGATTCAACCTTCCCTTGGGCCTCCCCGGAGGACTTGGGCAGCCTTCATTTACTCCAGTTTGTTCGTTGTAACCAGGCTCTGCTCAGAACAGTTTGAAAGATGCTCGAAATGCAGCCACGATGCTGTTTTCTCTTGGTCTTTCTGTTTGACCCCCGTATCTTGTTTATTAGTGTTACAAGGCTGTTCCCTCTTTATTACGTCCTATTCAGGTTTAACGTTGGTGGTCAATTTAATATTTTGAAGGGAGAAGTGAACTTTTGGATTCACAGCGAACCGTGTTGGGAGAGCAGAGAACAGGGCATCGGTGTCTTCCCGTTCCTCAAATAGTCTGGAATAAATAACACGTATAAAAAGGCGAGTTGGAAGCTCTATGCAGCTCAGTCCGAGGAAGCAGACAGACAGCGTGTGTCTCGTGTAAAACACGAGACAAACCAGAGGTGGGATCTGTTAGCAGGACAAACGAACAAACACCCCGAGACGTCCCTGAGGTTTGGTTCAATGCTTCAAATGGTCTGCTCCAACAGTCAGATGTGACTTTTAAAAACAGTTTTCCGTGGCTTCCTTTATCTTGTCAAGCTGTCTTGAAACGCTGACTGACCTACAAATCACGTCCTCTGTGCAGTAAGAACTTGCAACAAATCCTTTGGTTTTCTTTGGCTAACATTCCAGGTGAGACCACTTAGGAAAGCATCTGGACCGAGCAGCCAGCTGCGGTGGCTTCTTCGTCCCAGCGGACCAGTCTCCATCCCTGCTTTGCATACACCTCACAGACCGAAGAGGAAGCCGGGAGGCTGGCACTCTGCCGATCACTCACCAAGAGGCTCCATGTCTCTCCTCTTCCCTTGGGTGAATGAGGTATTTCGAGAGCCAGTCAGTGTCTCCACCTCATTTCCTGAACTACAATGATCTACTCATGAGGCCGAGTCAGAGGAGACCCTGGCCAGCTATATACAGAACAAAGGAACATATAAATACATTACTTACAAAATTAACCATTACACGATGAAGGAGAGGACCTGCTTCAAACTAAATAAATTTCAAACATAAATTAAAAAAAAAAAACATTGAAAAGCCACCAAAGCCACCGCTGTCCCCAAGGTCTGTTGCTCATGGATGACACATTCAGCCGTGTGAGGTAAAGCCACAAACACTTGAAGGAGGCGTCGATTCTAGCTTTGGTTTGGATTGCTCTATTCCAGGATAGCAAATGTTTAGAACCGGCAGGGTGATGCTTATGGGTTGAGTTGAAGAGGGACGTCCATACCTCTCCTCTTCCTCCCTCCCTCCCAACATCTGCCTCTGATGAGAGAAGCATCAACATTTCAAGATGTTCTCCACCTACAAATGTCACATTCAGCTCCAAGATGAGGCGACCATGTTCTCAAGACTGTCCCCATCCCATAGGATTGTACAGGAAGTAGAACGGGGGAGGGACCATCCCAGGAGGTGATCAGCAGGAACAACTGTGAACAATTCCTTACTTCTGAGTCTCAGGAAGGTCAAGGATTGGGTACCAAACTCTACAGTGAATATACAGAGACAAAAGTCCCAGTCTCACAGGGTCCTCTCTGCCAAGGAAATGCCAGGGGGTCCATCTCCTCATAATTTAAAACGGGGAAGTGAGGAAGCAGAGAAGTCCCGTCTGGCCCCCAGGGTTCTATCTCTGCCCGGCCTCCCGGATGCGGCAGGCCACAGCAGTGATGAGGGCCGCTCCCTTCCCACTGCCGTCCTCTGATTCCAGGAAGGACACGTCACATTTTGGGGCCAGCTCTCTCACCGTCTCATGCATGACTTTGGCAAAGCTGGAAAGAGAGAAAAAAAGGGGTTGTGACTGGTTGATGTCTTCAGGCAAAGCTGGAAAGAGGGCTGAAGAGTGAAGCATGGCACCTACAAACTAACAAACATTTACTTCACACTTGGTACCACAGACAGGCTTGCAGGGGCTAGGACCACACCCAAGCCTTACACCACGGTGGACAATCACAAGAACAGAGGCTCAAGTTTTGGCACAAACGTCTTGAGATGCTGGTGAACTTCCTTCAAAACAAATCAGTTGGTCTGGGGATGTAGCTCAGTCGACAGTATTTGCCTAGCACCATAAGTTAGGCCCTTAGTTTCCACCCCCAGCATCCACCGAGCATGGTATAGCCCATGTCTGTAATCCCAGCAAACAAGAAGCAAGGGAATCAAAAGTTCAAGGTTACCTTGGCTACAAAGCAGGGATAGGCTGTGTTAAAGGCTAGTGGGATACAAGAGACTCTAGCTTCAAAAATAAACCAAGGGGTGGGGCAGAACTCAGCACTGAGGAGTACGAAAGCCCTTGCAGGGGATCAAGATTCAGTTCCCAGCACTCAAATGGTGTTCACAATACCCTGTAACTCCAGCTCCAGGGAATCCAATGCCATCTTCTGGCCTCCGTAGGCACTGTACCTGGGTACATAACTTCCCCACACCTCCCACCTCTATCCTGTATATAAATAATTAAAATAATTTTTAAAGGTAAATGATGGGCTAGAGAGATGGCTCTGTGACTAAGAACATCTATTGTTCTTTCAGGAGCCAAATTTGATCGCCAGTACCAGGTCAGGCTGCTCACAACTGTCTGGAACTGTGACTCCAGTTCCAGGCAATCAGCCTGCACGGGTGCCTTCAGTTTTGTGTACATGCCCCGACAGAGACACTCATATACATGTCTCAGTGCAGCAGACTGTGTGCCCTCTCATGACCACCCTGCCATCTCAGCAAGAAATATGTACTTGTCAGGACGTGAACATGGGATGGGTGTGGCTGTGCTCTGATAAAGAATTTATTTTAGCAACACAGCCACCCAGTGACAACCGTAGGGTCGTCCTTGGATCACAGAAAAAAATCTTGCTTGAATCATAACCAGCAGCACCATTCAAACAGCCAAAATCTCAAAATGAATAGACATCACATCAATTACAGAAACAGTGGTGATACGATCTCTGGTACCTATGATCTCTGGTAGCTGTGAACTCCTGTTGTCCCACTCCAAGAGACAAAGGATTAGGAATTAGAGGCTAGCCTCAGCTACATAAGGAATTCAAGCCTACCCTGGCTCAAAACCAAAATAGTTTCAACCCAGCCTTGAAATTAGCCAACTACACCTGTACAGAGGCTCTCAAGCCAACAAAAGGGTCATCCCCACTAATCTGCAAACTAAGCATTAAACCCTCTTTTGAGTGGCTAAGAGAAGCACAAAAAGAGAAATACACAAGGAGAAGAAGGAAGACAGGGCAGTCCCCAAGGTCGGACACTCACTGAGGATGGAGCTTATACAGTGTCCCGTCCACGCCCACCGTCACTTTGAGGTTGTCCAGCCCACGGTTCTCTCTGATCTTGTCCACCACGGCGGCCATGCCTGCACCACAGAGCTGTGCCGCACGCCGGGCCACCACGGTGCACACCTCCTTCACGATGATGCTGTCATCGCAGGTGCTCTCCAGCCCTAGGTGGCGCAGGATGGCTCGGACCTGTAGCAGGGCCAGGCAGTCACTGCATGAGAGATGGACAGTGCACGGTTAATTACGCACAGAGAGGCTTAGTGGCCCTAAGGACCCCCCAGTCCCATGGAGGCACAGTGGAGAATGGTCCCGTTCCGAACAGAACTCATTCACCTGCTCTTCCTAAAGGTGACAGAGCTACAAACAAGCGGCCCTTCATCCTATTTTACTTCCAAAGTAGGGCATTGTTATTACAAGCTCACAGGCATGGTGAGTCACGCCTGTACTAGCAGCTGTCAGGAGGCTCCAGCAGGAGGATTGAAACCAACGCAAGGGCAACCTTATCTACATAGTAAGACCTGTCTCAAGAAAGCCAAAACCAAACTATACTGAAAACAAAGAAAATCTTCATCCTACACGCAGACTAGCCCTGATACTCGGTCTAAAGCTCACCAATCCTATTTTCATGGCCTCTTTCCATGTTCAGCGTGGATCTTTTGAAGAGTGTCAGTTAGGAGTGGGTAACTCACCAGAGACAGACCTCTACATCCTGGCCTCACATGAGCTGGGGAAACCCTTTAGCTTGTCTATTCATCCGACAAAAAAAAAAAAAATGAGGACACGCCCCACCTTCCTCCCAAGCTTCTCATCCTCACCTCTCGATCTGAGACAGGAACTTCGTCTCAAAGATTCCCCTTGTCTTGAGGCGCTCTGAGATGCGGCCCCGGAAGAGCAGCCCCCGCTTCGTGAAATCGATGAGAATGTTGCGCACAATCTCACCCAAGTACATCCCACTGATCATCTTCTCGAACCTGCAACGGATGTCCGTGGAGGTCAGAAGGGGTCAGACGTGTCCAGGCAGAAGGGGGTGGGGGGATACGGAGTCTCGCAGGAAACATCCAAAAATCTCCTCAAACATTCAGCAAAACTCACCCCCTGATATCTGAGGCCCACAAGGCTTATTAGGAAAATTAAATAAAAAAAAAAGAAAAAAAGAAAAGACAAAACCCAAACCAATTCCAGGAGCAGGGGAGGATCCACTGTTACATGTTTTCTCTTGGACCTTAAGTAACTGCTGTCAACAGCAGACCCCACCCCCACTCCCCATCCTCACTTCTGGAACCAACCACGACTATGGCATGACTTGGGAGGTCTTTGGAATACGCACTATGCCTTTTTGCAAAGTCAAGGGCCCAAGGCGTACTGAAGACACATTGTCCTACCTCTTTTGGTAGCCTGCTTCCTTCATTAATGCTACCTGCCTGGCTCACAGAGGTCCTTTAATTCAGACTAATGATAGACTGCAAAGTGTGTTCTAAAAAACCACAGTCTTTGACTACTCATTCAGTCTGGTAACACTGAATAGATAGTAGGTAGATAGCATCTTCCTTCCAGAAAGACTGACAGATCTTAGGGCTCAGCTCAGCTCCAAGCCCCTGTACATGAGAGTCTGTAACACTGGGGATGCTTGTTCCTTCTGACAATAGAGGTCTTAGATGCTGAGTAAAAATGAAAGTCTTCCCTCCTGCCAGAGCCACAACAATTCTTCTTCACACTGGGGTGTGTGTGTGTGTGTGTGTGTGTGTGTGTGTGTTGCCTGTTCCCACCTGGTTTTCCTCAGTCTCAGACCTAGCCTCCAGTACACTCTCCGAGACCTCGTGATGTGTTTGAGAAGACCCTCTTTGAAGGAGAAACCCATTAGGCTCCTCAAGAGAACAGGCATTCCTCAGAATGCCACGGTGATGGAGAGCCCAGTCAATGGAGGCCCCGTTCTGGGATTTAGCTCCGAACACAGGTGGCTGCCTACCTCTGTTTGCCAGGGTTGAGAGAAAGCTCATCCACTGCGACATCAAACACTGTACGCAGGTCATCCAGGCAGCCGTTGTCCCCAAACGCTCCCCACTCCATGTTGACACACATCCGTCCCTCCTCTCCATCCACCAGCTCCACATTCCGCATCTCTTCCATGTAGCAGGCGTTGCTTCCAGTGCCTGTCAATCAGAGGCCGCCAATGCTCCCTCAACACCAGCCTCCCACCCACCCAGAGCCGTGCAACCCCACCTGGGCAGGATGAACAGTGTCCTTACCAACAATGAGGCCAACTTCACAGTGAGGGTCTTCATAGCCACAAGTCATCATAGTTCCAACTGTATCATTCACCACGGCAACCACATCCAGGTCAAACTCCTGATGGCAAGAAGAAGATGTCTACTCCACAAATCCCAGTGTCAGAAACTTCAAGACACATACGCACACATGCATGCGCAGGTGCACACACATACTCCAAATGGTATATGCTATGGCCCATTCTTCACTTCACCTGCCCCTGCCCAGACATCCCCTCCTCAAACTGAGACCTACACTTCCACTGGCTAGGACATTAAGATCACCACTTCTGAGCAGGGAAGACAGATCAGTCAGCAGAGAGCAGTGCTTGCTTCCCTTACAAGCATGACAACCCGAGTTTGATCTTCAGAACCCACGAAAGAGACACACACGACAGTACATGTTTGCAATCCCTGCAAACATGAAACATGAAAGGGAAACAGAGACCAACAGACTCCTAGGGCTTGCTGGCTAGCCAGCCTAGCCTAACTGTTTGGTCCCAGGCCAATGAGAGGATCTGTCTCTAAAACCAAGATAAGGGGCTGGAGAGATGGCTCAGCAATTAAGAGCATTGACTGTTAAAGTCCTGAGTTCAATTCCCAGCAACCACATGGTGGCTCACAACCATCTGTAATGGGATCTGATGGCCTCTTTCTGGTGTGTCTGAAGACAGCTACAGTGTACTCACATACATAAAATAAATCTTAAAAAAAACAAAACAAACAAACAAAACAAAAAACAAAGAAAAGCCAGGCATGGTGGCATATACCTTTGATCCCAGTCATTCAGAGGCTGAGGTAGTTAGTACCTAAGGATTCCCATCTAAGACCACACACACACACTGCCACTTATCTGCTCACCCTTTTTTGCTCTCCCCATTACTTAAAGCCCTTACAGCAGCACCTGCCACTGGAACCTGGCCTCTTAGTCGTTAACCAACCACTGCTGAGTGATAAGTTAATTTCCCCCCAACAAAGCAGTAACATGTGCTCTAATCCTGGATTCCAGATACACCAAGCCTTGCAACATGTCTCCCACCTCTCGCCGGTGAATCGCTTCCTTCAGCAAGGTGACCACATCCTCGCCCTCACAGCCAGATGCCTTGAATCCCTTTGTCCACTTGAGGAGGATGCTCTGAAAGTAAATAAGTAGAAAATAAAAACCACACAGGTGCACAGAGGAGGGACAGCCGAGAGGGGATCCTGGGTCATTCCTGGAGCCTGGTTCTGCTTCTAGCTCTCAGCCTCGCAGAGCGGATTACCCACAAATGATTCTGAGCCTGCATCTATGGTACTGAGACTTGGTTACATCATTTGATCCTCACCACCACTTGTGAGAGCTTTGTCATGATCACAGTTACTTGGTGGGTTATCAAAGCACTGAAGGGATTTGCCGGATCTAGATCACCCCCTGGCCCAGTGACTCATGGCTTAAACACCATGCAAACGCTCCAATGCATATTTCCTTCAGCGGACAAGGCCTAGAAGGGCCGGTGTGTGTCTTTTTTGTTTGTTTGTTTGTTTTTTGTTTTGTTTTTGTTTTCGAGACAGGGTTTCTCTGTATAGCCCTGGTTGTCCTGGAACTCACTCTGTAGACCAGGCTGGCCTCGAACTCGGAAATCCGCCTGCCTCTGCCTCCCAAGTGCTGGGATTAAAGGCGTGCGCCACCACTGCCCAGCCTGGTGTGTATGTCTTAACTCCAGAGTTAATGAACAATGTCAACCTAGAGAGGTTCTCAGAGTCTTCTACAGGCCCTAAGCGGGGGGAAGAGGAGAGGAAGGGAGTGTTTCTGTTCACATCTGCATGCATAGAGCTGGGCACATGGCATGTATGTGGAGGCCAGAGGCTGATGGCACACACCTTCCCCATTTGCTGTCCACCTTATTTTTTGAGGGAATCCGTCATTATACCTGGAACTCATGGATTGAGCTAAGACTAGCTGACCAGGGAGCACCCAGGATCTACCTGCCTGGCTCTGCTTCTGCAGTGCCGGGTGTTACAGGCACAGAACTGCACCCAGCTTTTACATGGGTGCTGGAGATCTGAGCTCAGATCCTCATTATTACAAAGCAAGCAACATAGCACCTGAGCCAGGCCCCTGAGCCCCTCTTTAGGGCATCCTCCATTGTGTGGTGGGTCATCTAGACACAAATGCCCATTTGCTTTGTACATGGGAGAAAAAAGGGTTTGTTCCCTGTTGCTGTTGGTACTATACAAACTACAGAAGACTGGAATCACGGCCACCCACATGCATGGTGTCTCCGAGCTTTGCTCATGGTATATGCCCATCACCTGGGTATCCCATAAACCTGGGTGTGTCAAACTGTGGTGAGATCCCAAGAGATTATGAACAGAACAAAACACAGTACCGTGGAGCCCTGGCTAATTACACCCACACAGCGACAAAGGCATGCTTGTCTCTTCTACTCATCTCTCATCTACCGCTGAGCTCTGTGCCTCTGGCAAAAGTGAGGTTTATAACCTCACTTCAGATGATGACTGTAACAAGTCAACACCAGGCTTAAACAACAACCAGGGGAGACTTGCCCAAAGCCAGTGAAGTGTGGCCAAAGACCTGTGTGTGGGTCACCAGGTGTCCTTAACACCTGCTGAAACCTCATCAAAAAGGTGAGGTCACCAGCGCCAAGGCCACAGCTAGTTCCTGCTTTGTCTACTCTTTATTAAGTTCTAGTCTTACCAGAGGAGCCTTACAGAACACAGAAAAACCCAGCAAGGATCTAAGATCTTACAACCCTGGTTGGAACAGTTAATAGTGTCGAGTTTCATGATAAAAATATACAAAATTGTACATGTTGGCATGAAAAGAAAGAGAGGGTCTACTCATGTGCAGGGGGACCTCAGTTTGATATTCAGCACCCACATAAAAGCTGGGGAGGTGGAGACAGGAGGATCTCCAAACAGGCTGACAGCGTTGCCTAAGTGAGCTCCAGGTTAATGAGAGACCTTCTCTCAAAAACAAGGTGGATAACCTCTACCTGAACATATATGCATGTGGCAACACACACACACACTCTATGAGTTAATATTTTTGATTGTCATTGTTATCTGTGTACCCAAAAAGTTGGTATCCAGTTTCTCCTACGGTCCCCACCCAAGCTCACTCATATCCTCTTTCACTCTTCTAAGAACAACTCTCTTCCCTGTAAACTGGAGTGAGCTTAGAGTTGAGGAAGCCCATAGGAGAGCTTTCCCAGAAGGTGCCACTACCTGGTCCAGGCTGTTCTGCTGGCAAGGGAAGGAGAAGGTGAAACCCAAAGGCAGGGACACACCCTTCATGCCCATGTACTCAAGGAAGTCTGCGATGCACTGGACAATGTGGTCGAAGAGCTGTAGAAAGAAAGGGCATTGAGAAATGCAAGCTCAGGCAGCACTAATCCGGAGCAACTCTGCCGGGTTGCTGAACCACTGCCCTCCTCAAGCCAGGGGTGAGCGGAGAAACACTGGTCTTTGAAATTGGGAGGTCGCTGGATCCTCCCAGAAGCACAACCCATCATGACCTCCCCTCCTCCCTAATGTATCACCGCTGCCGCCACCACGCCTTTCTCTCTGGCCCCTCGCCTCACCTCCTCTCCAGTGCCATGCATGACCTCCTGCGGGATGGAGTAGATCTTGTTATGCATCTCCACGCCCCTCCGCTTGCCATTACGCACGCGCACCAGTAGGACCCGGAAGTTTGTTCCTCCAAGATCCAAGGCCAGGAAGTCTCCTTTCTCTGGAAAATGAACCCAGGATAATGAGTTGGGGTCACAGAGAATACATTTCCCTTCGTTGGGGTTGTGGAACGCAAGTCTTGGGAGAAGATGGAGTGTGAGCGCCACCTGGCAGTTAAGCAAGAAAATCTTCAAGATCAAATCTGAATGGGCCCACCATCTAGTAGAACCCCAGAAGTCAGCTCTTCAGAACACGGAGAATGCCAATACAGTATACTTAAAACTGTCTGAATTTGAGCCGAGAGAAATCGTACCACCTAGGGTCCGATTCTGGAAGAGAAGGAAAAGTAGAGGGACTCTTCAAAGAAAACTGAAGTCAGGGAAAGTGGAATGCCCGCAATCCCAGAACTTGGGATGTGGGGGCAGGAGGATCAGGAGTTCAAGGCCAACCTTAGCTACCTTGTGAGTTTAAACCCAACCTGGGCTATATATAAGACCCCGAGACAATCTGACACATTCCTTTTCCCTCTTCAAGGTAATCTTTGAGGGGTGCTTGAATGGAGCATGGCCCCGTATTACCAGAGTACCAAAACTTTTGCCTGTGTAGCCTGTGCCAACCGTGAACAATCATGAACCAGAAATATTTTGTATGGGGCCAAACAGGAAATACATGTAGATCCAAACTAATGTGGTATTTGAGAGCTGCCTCTGGAATGCAGATTCCTAGGTTTGAATGTCAGCTGACATCGGTTGTATGAACTTGAACAAGGTTCTCTTGGTTTCAGTTCTCTACCAAACAGCAAATTTATATTTTTATTTTTTTTAAAGATTTATTTATTTTAATTTTATGTATATGAGTACACTGTTGCTGTCTTCAGATACACCAGAAGAGTGCATCCGATCCCATTACAGATGGTTGTGAGCCACCATGTGGTTGCTGGGAATTGAACTCAGGACCTCTGGAAGAGCAGTCGGTGCTCTTAACTGCTGAGCCATCTCTCCAGCCCAGTAAATTTTTAATAAACAAAAATTTGGTCCAGGAACAGTCCTAGCATAGGTGATTCAAGGTCATCCTGGACTACATTTGAGGCCAGCCTGAGCAACATTAGACCCATTTCAAAAAGCAAAACTAATGAGGCTGAAGAGATAATTTAGCAGTTAAGAACTGACACTGTTCTTGCAGAGGTTCCAAGTTCAGTTTCTAATACCAGCATCAGGGGTTTCCCAACTACCCCTAACTACCCCTAACAGCTCTAGGGAGACTGGATGCTAATTGACACATCACACACACACACACACACACACACACACACACACACAGCACCGATGCTGCGTACCTGTACCATCTGGAGTGGCGCACACGTAAGTGGGCAGCATCTTCACAGGGGCAATGTCATGCGTCTCCTTGCTCAAACCTTGCTCCATTTCCACCTTCATCCTTCTCTTAACCTCCAGCAGCTGTTCATGGCTCAGCTTCAGAGACTCCAGGGTCTTCTGGCGGGCCCGGTGTTGGTCAGCCAGACGGTAAGCCACCGCTGTCACCATAGCCGCCCCCTTGCCGCTGCCATCCTCAGAGCGGAGGAAGCGGACATCACAGTCAGGCACCAGCCTCCTCACTGCCTTATGGAGACGCTTGGCAAAACTGTGACACACAGAGAAAGAGACAGGTGTCCATGGTTACAGTCTGTGGTATAAATGGCCGCAGAGCAGACCATGCCCCTGCAGAAGCACGTGGTGCCCGTACCTCCTCTCTCCAGTCCTCCCCATCTTAGGGTTACTGTATAAAGGCCCAGCTATTCATTCAATCACAGCTGCTCTAGCTGGCTCTTCTAAAGCTACTGCCCCCTGAATGTAGTCACAGAGCCACTCTTTCTAATGGAACAGGCCACAGCTCCTAAGCTTAGCAGAGGGTGCCAGCCTCTGCTAGGGCAGACTACTAGAATCAAATGTTTCTGATGCTCCTGGAGATCCAGCCTCATTTTATCTGAAGCCCCAGGAAAACACTCAACAACAACAAAAGCCTACAAGTATCTTTCTCCTGGACTCTGGCCTTTCTCTTTCCAGTTCTTGTGAAGGTCTCAGAAGCATTTGAACAACTGGAGTCAGTGAGAGGCTCTTGGGTGGCGACCTCCTGCAGCTTCCAGAGAGAGCTGACTACTGAGGATAGCACAGCACCGCAATTCCAAGACTCCTCTCCCAGACCACCCACACCCACACGGACAGGACAGCAAGCAGCCTTCCTGCAGGCTGGTCACTGTAAAAGTCAGCCTCGCCCAGTCACTCAGCTGGAACCAGCCTCTTAACCACATTCCCAGGTTATTCATGTTCCTACGGCCCTGGTCTGGAAAGCAGGGGATCGATCTCAGGGCCAGATGGCAGCCACCAGCTCAGTTAAAGGTTCCCTGACCTGGCACTCACACTGAGAAAACAGTGGAAAAATAAGTGATCAGAAGAGATATCTTCTGGGTCCCGGTTGAGATATGAACAGTTTTGAATATACAAACAAAGGGACATGACAGGGCAGGAACAATTCAACACCAAAATCAGGAGAGGCTGGTGTCTTCAAGGTTGGATGGCCACTAATAGAAGGCATGGTACCCACATGAACCAGCCAGAGTAAGGGAAGAACAGAGATGAATCAGTAACTCATAAAAAAAGGGAGGTGGCCGGAGATGATGTTGGGTTCTGGTGATGTGCTTGCCTACCATGCACAAAGCATTCGACAGAAAACGCTTCAGAAAGGTGGTGGTACATGCCTGCAATCCTAGAACTTGGGAGGCAGAGACAAGATCAGAATTTAAGCTCATCCATGGGCACAGACTGAGACTAAGGCCAGCCTGGTACTAGATGACAAGCTTGTCTCAAAACAGAGTAGAAGAAGAGACAGCAACCAGGAGCTCTACACAGAGGGCAAACTATCAGCTGCCTTCAGAAAGCAATCCCACCCACCCATACCAGCAGTGTCCACTGGAGAACATATAGAAAGCAATACAGAGCTGCCTCATGGAGTCTCCAGGGGACTCCATTGTTCCCAGCCCTGGGCTGCTCACTCACTGGGGATGTTTCTTGTAGACCGAGCCATCAACGCCAATGGTGGAGCGAAGTCGCTCCTCGCCCTTGTTCTCCTTGATCCGCCACAGCACCGCAGCCAGGGTGGCCGCGCACAGGCTGGCCGAGCGCGTGGACACAATCTGACAGATTCGGTGTGTGGCCACACAGTCCTCCTGCAATGGACTCAGACCCAGGCGCACCAGGATCTGGTAAGCCTTCTGGATTCCGTCCTTATCCCTGGGAAACAGACAGGGTGTGAGCAGTGTTCAATTCACTGTGGCCACCAGTGAGAGGGGCTGGCAAGGCAGTCCCTCAGTTCTAGCAAAGCCCTCCTTCCAGGGAGTGCTGATTACACAGCAGTTCAAGGCTCCTCTCTCCCAGACCACCAACACTCACAAACACACACAGAGGGAGGCCTGGTTTCTGTAGGTGCTTTTTTATTTTCCACAAGGAAAACCTTGAAGTTCCTTTGTGTGTACCTTATAAGGACAGGACCCTGTTTTTGCTGCACATGCTGAGTGAGTGAGCCTGTGGGTTCCTGCTCTCTGTTTCCCTCAAAGTAGATGAATGGTAACTCAGCTGCCAGCTACCTTTGAGTACTTGAATCCAGTATGGACCCCACCTGTTGCTCTCTAGAACGGCAAAAGCCAGTCTGTGTCTGAAGACACTGGGAAAGGGCTGGACGTTGCGCCTGAGCCTCTCCTGGAGGAGCCCCGTGCCTCTATAACACACACCTTCATCTCCTTTTGGGCTTAACAAAAAGCAGGCAGAACTGCTCCAAAGAGTCCTCGAAAAGTGCTTTGAACTATTTCATTGCCCTTCTTTCCGTTAAAACCACTTCCTCGCTCCATCACGTCCCTGAAACTGTAAGACTCCCTCAACCAAGTAGAACTTTCGAGCACAGAACAGTAAACCTGAATCTTTGGAACACTGTTTAGTGATTAAAAAACAAAACAAAAAACCAGGATGTCCTTGCTCCCATTCCCAAGTTATGAGCAGGTAAGTATTTATGTCATACTCAAGTTAGTGAGAGTGGTGACTGGTGAATAAAGTCATATGGCTGCCAAAGACATCTATATGAACTTCTTCTGGTCCTCCTTACAACCTCAAAAGCCTGACTGAAGGGAGAGCTCGCTGGGAAAAGTGCATCCTTGGCAAGCACAAGAACTCGAGTTCAAACCCCACAATTTATATTAAAGAAAAAAAAATCAGATGTGGTATGTCTCTAATCCCAGAGTGATGAGGAGGTGGAGACCGGTGGATCCTTGGAGGCTCACTAAGCCTAGCCCACTAAATTCCAGGCCAGTGAGAAAGTCTGCCTCAAAGATAGACACTCTGCAGAACACATACCCAAGGTTTGATACACACACACACACACACACACACACACACACACCCGCACACACACAGAACTCCAAGCCACACCCCTTATTTCCCTCCTCGGTTCCTGCCAAACTCATGGTAAGCAGAGAGGCAGTGGGCCCAGAGCTTACTCTTCAATATCTGAGACATCTTTGGTCTCAAAGGAGCCGGTGGTGAGGAGTTCTGGGCTGAGCTTCCCTCGGAACAGCAGCTCTGCCTTGGCCATCTTCACGAGGATGAGCCTGACCAGCTCCCCCATGTACATCCCGCTGATCATCTTCTCAAACCTGCAGAGAGAGAACAGTTTCGCCATCAACAGATGTGCACCCTCTCTCCTCCAGATGACGGTGCACAGTGTGAGACTCTCAAGGAAAGTTAGTAATCATAGTAACAACAGCAACTAAAAGGCTTAGATAGGTCCCCAGTAGGAAACAAGATGGCTAAAATTATATCAAGGTACAGATCTTCCCACTCATCCACTAACGCTGCCTTTCCAAATTTGTGAATTCAAGAAAATGGATGATAACAACCTGGGAAGAGGCTAGGAGGTGGTAGTACATGTCTTTAATCCCAGCATTTGGGAGGCAGAGGCAGGTGGATCTCTGTTAGTTCAAGACTAGCCTGGTCTTTACAAACAAACAAACAACAATAAAAACAAAAAGCCAGTAACCTGGACAGAGATTGGGGTAAAGTTCCAGGGCAGGCTAGAAGTGAGCTCAAGAATCTGGGGGTGAACATGTTGAGAGCTAAAGGAAAAAATTAGCTTAAGGAAGTCCAGTAATTTAACTTCCTATCACTAGGTGGCACTGTTTTCTTTAACGATTGCTCTTTTTGCCTAGGCCCATGTGACCGAAGAAACCAAGCCCTTAGGATTATCTTCTTGGTAAAGAAAGCCCCTTGATGTCTCCTAAAGGGGCAGAGACAAGAAACATAATGGGCTTGTATTAACTAGGATGGGCCACACCACTCAGGAGGCCCAGCAGGGGTGTGGCACAGAACACCTAGCAGGAATTGAAAACCAGGCCCTCAATCAGCAAAATGTGACTTGCTCAGAGTAAGGCTAAAGAAGCACTGGCAGCATGGTTCCAGACACCAGCGGGAAGATCAGGTTTTAGGCTAGCCTCGGCTACATGGTGAGATCCTATCTCAAAGAATTAGAGAAATGGTTCTATGGTTAAGAGTAAGTACCACTCTGAAGGAACAAAATTTGATTCCCAGCGCCCAGGACTACATGTAATTCTAGTTTCAGGAGATCCAGTGCCCTCTTCTGCTCTCCCCAGCACTAGGCTTACATGCACACAGTGCACTCAAATACATGCAAAATAAATAAATAAATAAATAAATAAATAAATAAATAAATAAATAAAAGACTCATCACTCATGCACATAAAGTAAAAATAGGTAAGTGGGGGATGGGGGATGCACACCTTTAATGCCAGCACTAGGGAGGCAAAGGCAGGCAGACTCCTGTGGATTGAGGCCAGCCTGATCTACAAATTGAGTTCTAGCACAGACAGGGCTGTTACAGAGACATCCTATCTCAAAAAAAAAGAAAGAAAGAAAGAAGAAAAGAAAAGAAAAACTAAAAACCCAAAATAAACCCTAAACGGGGGGGGGGGGAATCTAGGTCATCTCAGATAGTGAGTCCAAAGTCAGCTTGGGCCACACGAGCAGCTGTCTCAAAAACCAAAAGCCCAAACGAAGCAGCCTGGCTTCAGCACTGTAGAATCCCAATGTCTACATCTGACTGTCAACAAAGTCGGCTCGTAATAACTGAGGAGTTGTCCTCCCTCAGTGGCTCTTTACAACGTGACTGCCCAGCAGCACCTCAGAGGAAGACCCCCTTCCGATTGTCCTCAGTCACCTGTGGCTAAGCCAGTTCTGTTGCTCATTTTATCTTTGGACTCGCCCAAGGACACATGGCTCCTCACAGTAACTTGGGTTCATCCCACTGAGGGAAGCGGACACTGAAGGAACGGCTTTTCAGCTGACCTCTCAGCACCCACAGCAGACACAACCACAGGATCCTAAAAAAGCTGCAAGTGCACAGGCTTGAATTTCAATATGGAGCGGAGAAGCCTGTGACTTAAAGAAAGGCTACCTACCTCCGCCCCGGTGTACAGAGCTGGGTTCTCTGGGCTCCTTTCCCAAAGAGAGATCAGAACTAAATTTTTCTAAAACATTCACAGCACCAAGAGGACCACAGAAATAAATGGTATGTTGCTCAAAAATGGTTTTGCAACTGTTGTCAGCCCTTGCAGCAGCCACCAATCCTGTTTCAAGAGAAGTTTAGCAAATTCGAGAAAGTAAGGTTGTGTAAGAAGAGTCAAAAGGAGGGTCGGTCGGAGAGAGGGCTCAGCACTGGCTGCTCTTGCAAAGAACCCAGATCTGATGGTCAGCACCCACATGCTGGTTCATAATTATGTGTGCCTCTAGTTCCAGGGGATCCAATGCCCTCTTCGGATCTCCAGTCACCAAATACACATGTGGTACAACATGCATACATGCAGACACATGCATACATGCAGGCAAAATACACATAAAATGAAATGAATAAATCTAATTTAAAGAGATGAAAAGAAATACAAAGTCTTAAAAAAGAATCAAAAGTAACAAAAATAAGACTGGTGTGTGTAAGATTCAGGATGCAAAATGCTTAGCTTTTGCCTCCAACTAACTGTCCCTGGGTCATAACTGGGCTAGTGTGAATGAAGACAAGCCATGGGACTCTGAATAAATGACAATTTTTTAAAAAGTCAATACAGGGCAGCATATCTTTAATCCTAACAGTTAAGAAGCAGAGGCAGGTGGGTCTCTGTGAGTTTGAATCCAGCTTTCATCTACATAGTCAGCTCCAGGCCACCAGAAACCAAACAGTGAAACCTTGTCTCAAACAAAACAAAGAAAACAAATAAAGGCCAGGTTTGTAGCTCAGTTGGTAGTGTTTGCCCAGGTTCAATTCCCATCATCAAATAAAACCAGCTGCTGCAGTCTTGGTATCCAAGCAGTGATGGGCCGAAGGCCACAAAATGGTGCCTTTCTTTAAGAGCCTCATCTTGCCAGGCAGTGGTGGCACATACCTTTAATCCCAGTATTTGGGAGGCAGAGGCAGCAGATCTCTCTGAGTTTGAGGCCAGTTTGGTCTACAGAGTGAGTTCCAGAACATCCAGGGCTACACAGAGAGCTGCTGACCAAGACTCTGTATTAGGAAGAACCCAAGCAAAACGGTGACCATCCTGAAGGGCAGTGCGGTTTATCCGATTCTTGTCTCTGCTTTCAGCCCCTTTGCAGTCTTATGATCACGACCATTCCCGAAACTAGTGTGCCTCCACAACCCTTTGTGGATAACGCAAAGGAAGCGTGGAAACAAGCCCTTGCTGTGGCAGTCCCCACCTCAGCTCCACACCCTACCCACTCACCCACCCACAGAAAGATGCCACTTACAGCTGCTTCCCAGGGTTCAGTGAGCCCATGTCGATCTCTCGGTCAAACTCAGTTCGGATGTCATTGAGTGTACCGTCGTCCCCGAAGGCTCCCCACTCCATGTTGATGCACATCCGTCCCTCGTCACCCTCCACCATGTCAATGTGACGCATCTCCTCCATGTAGCAGGCGTTGCTGCCAGTACCTGGTCAAAGGAAGGAACCATTCAGTGGCTACATGTGCTATTGTCTTACCCACCTCCCTCTTCATTGCTTGTAGAAGTCTGCCTAGGGGCTGAGATTCCTCACGGCAGCCCCCTGGGAAAACACAACACACAGGCCAGGCCTCTCTCCTGTACACTGCTTAACTCCGGAAGTCCTGGCTTGGCCTAAAGTAGCTGCATCACTATCTTTGCATAGCAGGAAACACCCAAGCTAATGACTAGTTCGTACAATGCTGGCCCTCACACCAGGATCTCACTCACTCACCCACAATGAGACCAATCTCGCAGTTCTGATCATCATAACCACAAGTCATCATGGTCCCAACTGTGTCATTCACCACGGCCACAATGTCAATGTCAAAGTCCTGCAAGAGATCAAAGGGCCTTCATCATCACAAGGGGAAGACGGGTGTGAAGATGGAGAAAGAGCGAGATACACCATGAAAGTATGCTGCTAACCCAACCCATGGCCACACATGGATAGAGGTAGGGATCACCCCCGACTCCCCATCCACCTATTCTCCATTTGTCTTTACCAATAAGGACCGTTGTCCAGACAACAGCAAGGAGCCATCTCCTGCTCCATTCCCCGCTCATGTCAATCATGCCAACATTCCTACTTGACAGTGAGGACAGCCTGTGGACCCCGAGCTCCCACCCGTTACTCACCCCTCTGCGCTGGATAGCCTTCCGGATCAGATCCACCACATCTCTGCCTTCCACACCACTGGACTTGAACCCCTTAGTCCATGAGACCAAGAAACTCTAGACGAGGGCCAAATATATATATATAATTATTTTCCACCACTGCAACAGCAACCTCCCAAGTCCTCAGCAGAGCCCTCTACCTCAGGCCTAAAGTCACGGTTAAGAAGCGGTAAATAGTATAGCCTTGTATTTCTGATCCTCCTGAGGGCTGGGATTTCAGTAGGCACTACCGTGGCCAGTTTATGCTGTATCGGGGATGGCACCCAAGGCTCAGTGTGTGCTATGCAAGCACTCTGCCAATGAGCACATCCCCATTCTTGGGTATCTTCCTTTCACCCACGGGGCTTTCTCATAGCACTTTAGATCAAAGGCGATCTTAATTTCTCACTCCTGCTAATGTGAACAGGATACCACAAAGTATGTGGGGGAGGGGGATAGAACAGCACTGCCTGGGGGAGGGGCAGGACATCACTGCCTCTCCTATTTCACCGCCACCCTCTACACCTACACATAACCTTCACCGCCACCCTCTACACCTACACATAACACATACACACAGCTTCCCAGAAGGACATAAGTCTCAGTACTGAAAGCTCATATGCAAAACTCCTCATCGCCACTGCCACTGCAGCTGCAGGTGGCTCAGGAGTCCCCTTCCGAGAAACATCTCAGCCGGTCATACCTCATCCAGTTTCGTCTGGTGGCAGGGGAAAGAGAAGGTGAAACCCAGTGGGAGCTTCTTCTCTTTGATTTGTAGCTTGTCCATGAAGTTGGCCAGGCATTCGGCAATGTGGTCAAACAGCTAAGGACACAAGCAGGAAGGTGAGCGGGGAGGCAGGGTGACAGGGGATAGACTCGGGGTGATGGTTTCTATCAATTGCCAACTTGACAGAATCTAACATGACCTAGAAGACAAACCTCTAAGCACGCCTGTGTGGGAGTTTCTAGATTAGCTTCGTGGAAGTGGGGAGATTTCCCCAAATGTGGGAGGCAGCCTTCCACAGGCTAGAGCTCTGAATTGATTAAAAAGGAGTTAGCTGAGCACCTATCTATCTCTCTGCTTCCCAACTGTGGACATAACTGTGACCAGCACCTCAGGCTCCTGCTGCCATGCTCTCTTCCTACCATGACAGACTACATCCTCCAGCTGTAAGCCAAAGTAAAGGCCCCCTTCCTAATGTTACTTCTGTTACAGCAACAAGTAACACACAAAAACGAGCAAGTAGAACTTATGTCATCATTTGCTCTCCTGTGAAAAGGAAATGACATCTGGACTGTCACTCAAAACGACATCTGGACTCAGTCACGCAATGTGTACAAAGGCTTAACGCTAATCAGAGTGCTCGTTAGATGGAATCTTCCATGTAAGCCTTTTAAATTAATCTTGGTCAAAAGAACCCCAATAAGTCAGAGGACGCCGTGGTTATCACAAAGTCCACATACATCAGAGAACAGAGCAGCCTCTGCTGGCCTTCATGTTAGTCCAGCTTTTCCTCCCAGAATAGAATGCCTGTCTCATGCCCAAGGAGATCTTTGGCTCCCCTGACTCTTGACGGGGAGTGATGGGACTCATTCCCTCGGCGCTCAATGAACCAACTCAACCAAAATAAGCAACCTTTTTATTTTACCTCTGTAAAAGAAGAAATTCCCTGAAGGCAATTCAAGGATATTATTTTTTGGTTTGTTGTTTATCTTATTCTTTTTTTTTTTTTTAGTGTGTGTGTATGTGTGTGTGCACCCATATGTCTGCATGTGAGGTCACACTCTTGCCCATGGAGAATTGGAGTTGCTAGTTCTCCAGTGTTGTGAGCTGCTTGATCTAGGTCCTGGGATCTGAACTCTTGTCCTCTAATAAAACAGCAATTGCCTTTAACTAGCAAGTCATCTCCGCAGTCTCTTATTTTTGATTTCCAGTTTCAAAATGAAAGACAGGGACCCACACAGCTGCAGGACCCACACAGCCACCTCAGCATGCAGAGGTGTGTTCTGATAACTCAGGCTTTCAGTTAAGCCAGAGGCCACAACCGAGCAGTTTCTCTCCTTCACCTACTCCACACCCTCAAAGAGAAGCTTAGCTCTCCAGATGTTGAGAGACAGAAGGCAGCCATGTGGTATAGAGAGTAAGCTATACTTACTCTGGAGGCTGAAGAGAGTAAACAAAGTCCAAGGAAAGAGGGCCAAGTGGCAAAATGGAATCGCCAAGGAAGGAGCAGAGGAATGAAAGACAAGTGTGATCCTTCTCAGAAAGGAGCAAAGGGCTCAGAGGGTTGGCATTTGGTGCTAAGCGTGCAACCTGAGTTTAATTCTTAGAGAGAAAGCCCAACTGCTCCATGCTGTTCTGAAGCCTTCACAAGCCCCTCAAGGAGACCTAGCAATCTCTTAACAAGTCTTCTCTGGAATCCTGAAGCAGATCTCAGCAATAAAGGATGGGGTTAACAGGCCCACTGGCTCCCTGACGTCTGGGGCCATGAGCAGGTGGTGGAGTCAGGAAGGAAGGCAGCCTAATCTAGGAGGAGGCAGCGCGCTCGCCGAGCTCCCACGTGGATCCTGTCCATCTGTCTGGTGCCAAGCAAGGTTACCCACAGTTGATGCTGAACTTTGAACCTCCAGTTCAAGGCAAGACAGGACAGAGCTGTCACCATGGGGGGGGGGGGGGGGCTGGTGTTAGTGGCTACCTACCCTTGAGCTAGTCAGAGTTTTAATATACAAATGGGGCTTCTGGAGAGAGCAGCAACCTCTGCTCATGCTGAAACAAATATGGGCACATCAGACAACTCATAGCACACGATTCCCAATGTTAGGTTTCCTTTTTTTTTTCCTTTTTTCTCCAGTACTGAAGATTGAACCCAAGGCTTTACACGTGGTATGTGAGGTCTCTACCACTGAGTTGTATCTCTACAGCCTTTAGGGTGAGTATCTTTACCCAAAGAAAACAAGTCGCATAAACATCAAGCAGTCATGGGAATTGGGGGATCTTTATCTGGGGTGGGAAGCAAGATATCTTCCCAGTCCTCAGCCCTGACCTCTGTTCCTTCCCCAGCAGCCGTCCCCACAGAAGGCAAGAAAAAAAGTCCCTGTATTCAGGAGGCTGAGACAGAAAAATGGAGAACTGGGGGCCAGCTGAGGCTACCTCTTGAGACCCTGATATCAAGTCAAACTAAATTCAGCTGGTCAGTCACATTTTAAGTTTGCCATGCTTCATGTGACTCGTGGCTTCACACAGGGCAAGTCCATTACAAAAAGGTCTGAGTAAGCGGCAAGATCAAAAACCTACATGCTTTCTAGAAGGAAAAGAGGAGACAATTGCTCCCCTGAACTGGAGGACCAACCTTCTCTTCCTGCTATCTGAAGACCAGGGATGAGATGCTAGAGAAGTCAACACCTTCCTGCCATAAAAGGGCTCAAAGGGCATAAGCCTGTTAGCTCTGTGCTCCAAACATTTCCTTTTCCTTCTTGACAGGGGGATCTGCTCACTCCTCTTGTCCTGAGATACACCTGAAAAACCTCAGTAGGGTGTGCCAGGGCCAGGGCCTGCATCAGGAGGCTGAGAAGGAAGGGGTACCAAGTTCTCTGAGACAGACATCAAGTGACCAGACCAGAAGATAGATTTCACCCTTGCTCACAGCTCTTTAAAGACCTTTGCAAGTTTGAGGCTTGATGACTTAGCCTGTGATCTAATAAAATTGCATTTAAAAAATCTATTTCTTTCCCTCTTTCATTAAAATACTTGAACTGGGCTGATGAGATGACACTTAGCACCAAGACTGACCACCTGTGTGTAAACTCCAGAATCTACACACACACACACACACTAAATGTAACTAAAAAAAAAAAAAAAAAAAAAAAAGAATAGTCTTTAATCTTTCTAACTTGGTGGTTTGAGATGTTTTTATTTTTAGGTGTTATATTTTAATTATTTTCGTAGATTTGAGTTTCATTTGGAAACAAGGTAACACTATATATAGCTAGGCTGGCCTTGAACTCTCAGTCCTCCAGACTCAGGTTCTCAAATGCTAGGATTACAGATGTGTACCTGGCTCTGACAGTCTGAGAGATTTCAAGGTAAATTTTAACTTTTTTTTTGGGGGGGGGGGGCTCCTAAATGTTTGAAAAAGAAACAGAATCTTTTTCTAGGTTGACAGACACACTGCTAATGTCACTGCAAATGTGAACTCAAGTCCCAAGCCCTGGCCAGGCTCTGAAGGGAAAGCTGCAGGGGTGTCTGGGCCCTTCCTGTGTTACAGGTCTATGGAGATGGGAGGTTCATCCGGCACATTACTCAGACATCACAAGTCCTTTTCAAAACCACAGCCTAACTTCTAGAGTGCTTTTTGGCATTGTCTTATTTGGTTCTCAAATATTTGTCATCTGAGAGCGGGGCCCAGAATGAGACAGAAGCAGCATGGAGAAAAGGCTACCACATTCCTCACGAGGGTGACACCACCATTGCAGTACATACAGTACAGAGCAGGAAGAAAATCTGAAGAGCAGGCAAGCTCATGCAGACCAGCAGGCCCCGGCGAGCCTGCCAGTTGTTGCAGTTCCCACAACTCCCCTCTCTCAGCCCATGACCTAACAGAGCACCCTACCATCCCTCTCTACAAACAGACTGGGGTACTGCTGGCTCATACCCATTGGCCCAGAATCATACAGCGAGATTGCCCCCAAACAGAACCCAATCTTTTAAGCAAACATTCCGCCATTGTGCCACCACAGTGTTCTTGACACCACATAATGACCATGTGACACCTTCAGGAGAAAGAAAATGCCCACAATCCCAGATATCCAGCCTCCAAAGGAGGCAAGCTGACCCTCAGGGCCACGTCCAAAGACAAGCAAAGGATCTGATATCTCCTTTGCTTGTTCAGCTCACGAAACTCCTTTTTCCAGGAGTTTGGTGGGAAAAGGGCAATCAGGCTGTTGGAGTCCCACCTCTTCCAACCATCCAATGTGAATGTAAAATTCTTTTATTGCCAAGTGCCCTCTGAGCATAAATTAAGGCAGGAATAGTCAGGACTCCCACCATAGGAAACCTTACAGCTGGAACAGTATCCAGGATGTCTTAGTGACTGTCCTTCCGTGGTGGGAGAAGATGCAGAGTGTCCCACAGGCATTGGTAGCTCAGTGGCTACAACAGGAAGTCTGTACCTGGGTTCCACTGCCTCGCATGATGTCCTCAGGGATGGCGTAGATCTGGTTCTCCATCTCCACCCTCTGGAGCCCATTGTCTGTCACTCTCACTCGGAGCACACGGAAGTTAGTTCCTCCAAGGTCCAGAGCCAGGAACTCTCCATGTTCTGTAAACAGACAAAGGAGGGCCACTGTCAATTTGGAGAAAGACAAGATCAAACTGCCTCATGGAAAACAGTTAAGACTTCAGTACCAGTCACACAATGGTGAGGGTGGGCAATTGGTTCATTTTTTCTGGATACATTTGGTTGGTTCTCTTTCTGTCTGTCTGTCTGTCTGTCTCTCTGTCTCTCTCTCTCACACACACACACAACACACAACACACACGGTCTCTCAGTGTAACCCAGGCTTGCCTCCAGAGTCCTAGGATTACAGGCACGTCCCATCACACCCAGCTTAATGTCTGGTTTCCTCAATGATAAGATATTTTTATTACTTTGTAATTCACATGAATAATGAGACACTTTCATCATTCAGGTGTCCTCCTTAGCTTGTCAATGATTTAAACTGAGTTATCTGGGAAGAAGAAACTCCAGTGAGCAAACACACCAATCAGATTGGCCTGTAGGCTTTAACCTACCAGGAAACTAGGCATGGGACTGGAAGCACCTAGAGGCTCGTCATAACACAGCTGGCTGTGGGGAGTCACAGAACTGCAATCACAGAATGAAAGCAAGTGCTGAGGACACCGAGGCCCATGGGAAGGCCAGGATGGCAGGCTTCAGGAGCCAGAAGAGAAAGCACTCACCCCACCGCGGCCTCTCCTACCCACCCTCTACCCTCTTCACCTTCTCTTAGAGGATAGAGTTCATTTCTGGGTAGCGGAGAGGGGACTCATTAGTGTGCTGGTCAATGCTGAGCCTCTTGTCTGGTTGGGAGGGTCAAAGCCATGTTCTGACTAAATAAACTAAAGAATTTCATATGTGCCCAAGGTCTCCTGGGCTCCCCTGCGCACCCAGCCCCACTCCCACCCCCAACGACCACTTCTTATGAGCTCCCTGAATATAGTGTCCATGGTCTCTTAAATGCATAGCAGGAATTTGGGGTAGGCATCAACCAACTGAGTGAGGTTCCTCAGGACTCACCCCCCACATACTTGATGAGGTGCAGTGCTAGTTTAAATAACGTTCATCTGAAACCCACGTTAAGTATATGAGAATCTTGCCTGGCTACTTTTTAGCCTAGAGCCTCTTTTACCTCAGGCACATAGAGTTTGGTTTGACCTCTGTTCTCTTTAAATAGGAGCATCATACTTCCCAGGACTGCCATGAGAGAATTGAGTAATGTTCTCGAATCGCCCAGAATTATAGCAAGAACTTAAGACACAGGAAGCACTGGGCTCATGGCAGACACTGTCTCACACCTATTCAGACCAGTCTCCCAAACAGCAAGGGAGACAAGAGATAACTTTCCAGGAAAAGCCACTGGAATCAGACCAGGTGACTTAGCATTCCTCTTGCAGATACAAATTTTCCACTCCCTACTGAGCTTCTGAAGGAATCATCACTACTCACTCACTCCACATGCTTGTTCACTAAAGGCTTGCTACAGCAACACACCAGCCTTGACTCAGGGACACTGTCCAGCCCCTCTCCATGGCCTCAGATGACTTTTCTAGACACTCGAGTACCGAACCTCCACTGGCCATGGGGCCTCAGCCAGATTCTAGGAAACGCTATGTGGTGGTTGTCAGGGGGATGAAAGAGAAAATTAAGGGAGAGCTGCCTCGTCAGCACTTTGAGGCCCGGGACACACACGATCCGCTGAATCAGTGACCATGAGGGACGGAGGTGGCCGGCACTGCCTCTGGTTGGTTATCATCCAAGACCAGCCCAGCTGGACTCAGCCCAGCATGGCTCCATCAGGAATGTGATTCGGCTGTATTTTCTGGTGGACCAAAGGGTACTATAAATAATAAGAGTGCTGGTAGGACCTGGGGGGGCGCTCACCACTCCTTCAGAACATACCTCTCTCCTCAGCACGTTTCCCACACACACTCACAACCAAGGACTGATCCTCTGAGTTCAGAAAATGAGAAAGTGACTACAGAAATCCTATGATGACCCCACAGGGCAAGGGAGGGATCCTTCTAGGACAATCTCTCTATTGGGTATGACCACTCCCCTCAGAGGGAGGGGAAGGGAAGGGTTACAGGGCAGACATTACACATGGTGGTCAGGACTCATGAATTCTGGCTTGGCAGTGGTCTGGGCACCTCAATAGGTTCCCTAGGCATGCCACCTCACCTGCAGAACGCCCAGCTTATAGTGCTGACTTGCTACAGCACTCGTGAGGTTTTGATGGAATACAGACTAGGTTGCACATGTATGACTAACACATATAACAGAGACAGTAAGGTGCCACTGTCCTTGTCGCCCTTCATTGTCATCGTTCCTTGGTCTGAAAGGTCTTCTCCTAACTCTTGTCGGCCACTCTGAATCTACATGCTACTAGCTCCACTGGGCTCCTTCCAAGACATTCCAGAATCCATGTGTCCAGAATAGCATGTGACAGACTGTGAGCGTGAAGGGCAAAAGCATCTGTGGGCAGGGCAGGAGAAAGGTTCTGATGCAAGGAAATACACCAAGAGCAGGCTTCTTAGCCCAGCGCGGTGATGCTCCTGTAATCCCACTGGTTAGGGGTCAAGACCGGAGTCAGTCTCACCTACATACTGAGTTTCAGTCCAATGGAGGAGAAGGATATTTCTTAAGAAATCATACAAGCAGGGTTGAAGAGACGTCTTGGGGGTTAAGACAGAGCACTATTCTTCCAGAAAATGAGGTGTGTTCCCAGCACCCACATTGGGCTGCTCCCCACCACCTAAAACTCCAGCTCTAAGGATCAGACACCCTCTTCTAGTACCCATGGGTACTGCATTTACATGGTGTACATGCACACAAGCAGGCATACATACAAATGAGAGAAAATAAAATTTAGGCTGAGTTTAGTGACACATGCCTTAAATTGGAAGGCAGAGGCAGGCAGATCTGAGTTTGAGGTCAGCCTGGTCTAAATGGTGAATTCTAGGGCAGTCAGTTACAGAGAGACCCTACCTCAAAATAAAAAGACAATAATAAAATAAAATTTGAAATAATACACAATAAAATACACTTTAAAAAAAAAGATATCAAAAACTACAGATAAAGAACCCAGTAGGCTCACAGAGACTGCTCCTCTAAGTAACCACAGTTGGTATCTGAGGCAACTTAACACCTCATGCCGAATCTGTTCACTAACGGTTCACTCATCAAATAAGACATTTGACTGGCAACTCTAAGAGCTTTATAAGATCTCATGACTTTTTAATACTGTTAACTGTGCTGTTATCACTGGATCCTAACTTTTGCTTTTTAAAAAATAAAATATGAGAGCTGATGAGTTAGCTTACTGAGTAAAGGTGACTGCCACCCTGTCGGTCACCCTGAGCCTGATTCCTGGAACCCACGTGATAGAAGGAAACACACTCTTGCAAGTTTTCCTCGGAACTCCATCACTCCATCACTCCATCACTCCATCTCTCTCTCTCTCTCTCTCTCTCTCTCTCTCTCTCTCTCTCTCTCTCTCTCTCTTACACACACACACACACACACACACACACACACCCCAAACAAATAAATGTAATAAAAACTTTAACTTATGATGGAGTAGTGTCAAGTGCCTTCGGTCACAGCAAAGACTCGGATCCAGAGCTGAGCCAAAGGAGTTTTCTATGTTGAGTAATAAGTAAGCACTGGGAAGTTGTAAACCCTCAAAGGGGGAATTCTTCACTTACAATGCCAAGAGTGTAAAACCTGGAGGCGACAGCACCCCAAGCTGGGCTGGGTGTCAGGAAATGATCCCTCTAAAGTTGAGTCATTTGGTTAAGGTCAAAAAGGGGTGAGAGAGAGAGAGAGCTAGGGTTTGATGCCAGGGCTTCTGACTCCAAAGCCTGTGCCTTCCTCATGGAGACTCCCATTCCTGGAAACCACAGAGTAGTGAAAAAGAAGAGCAAAGACAACCTCATTTGTACCAGGAACCCCAGCTCATCGCTTGGGAACTAGATCTTCCATACTGAGTGGAGGGATGGACGAAGGCATGAGATGGTAGAGAATGGCAAGCCCTCTCCACAGTAAAGCCTGCTGAAGCCTGCTGATGTAGGCTGTGCACATAGACACAGAGTAAACTGTCACTCTCTTGTAACTATACCAAGCCTCTGTACCCACCTTACAGGACACTTCAGGCCTCTCTAAGAAAGATGCTCTTCATTTAAAAACACCCATACACATGAAGTAATACATACAAAATAAATCAGAAAACATTTCTGTCCACAGCTCAGATACTGGTGGCAGAGGGACAGGGTGATGGCACCCTTCATCAAATCGCCCGACAGGAAAGGGTGAAGCTGCTGGCTCCAGCCGTGTATTTACAGACTCACTTCCCATCCCACACACCCAGCAGCCCACTTTCAGTTTGACTCTTATCAGATACATAAGGTCAGTGAGATAAAGAGTTCCAACTTCTCCGGGGAACTCACCTGTCACAGGGAAAGACTGGGCACTAAGTGGCAGTCCGCCATCTAAATATGGTAGTCCATGTCACCTGAGGTAACACGACACCGGTAATTCATCACTCCTGCGTTGTTTAAAAGCTTCCGTGAGGTGATCTGGTACCTGGTGACAGCTGCGTTGTTTTGATTTGTGTGTGTGTGTGTGTGTGTGTGTGTACACATGTGCGCTCACGCTTTGTTCTCTTTGGTTTTAAGGTTGAGGGACAGGGGCCAGTTGAATGTTCCAGCAGGTTCTATTTTCAACCATTAGGTACTTGCCACTAATTAAAATAGATCGCCACCTGCTCCTCCCATCAGGAGCTCGGTGCAGTAGGCTGGGCCAGCCCTCTTACCAATGTCTTACAATAAAAAGGTGATTGGCCTTGTATTTCAAAGCTGCCTTGCCCATTCTTCTGAGGTAAGTATGTTGAGAAATAAATGGAATGGAAGTGTTCTCCTGGGTCAGGGTTGGGGCTGGAGCATGGCTCCTAAGCCAACAGTAGATAATTAAACAGATGACTTACAAATGATGGCTTCTGGGAAGCCCTTCTAAACAAGGGGCATCCCACAGAGTTCTCATGGCTCTAGGCAAGCTTAAAGGTGACAAGGTCTATCTGGAGCAAGGGCTAGTGGAAGGCTAAATAATAGCTCACCTCCTGTGCCCTCACCTCTAGTTTGACTTCTTCTCATTCTGCACCGTAAGATTCAGTTACATTAGCCGGGCAGTGGTGGCGCACGCCTTTAATCCCAGCACTTGGGAGGCAGAGGCAGCCTGATCTACATAGCACATTCCAGGCCAACCAGAGCTACTCAGCCTTAAAAAAATAAACACACAAAAAGGAAATTTAGAAAGAAAAAACTAAATCCATCATGAATCTGTGAATCAGGTACATCCCTGCCATCAGTTGCTTCAGCAGTGAGAATGGAAGACAGTCCCTAAAACGGCCACAGTTGTTCTGATTGCGATCCGGCCACAGACTGACCCGGGAGGAAAGGGAATGGTATATTTGTGCTCCTACAAGAATACCTTTCAAGTACAGGCAACAGGAGTTAGTGTGAATCTTCTAGAGGGAGACAGGTCAGCATCCATGGACGTTCACGGTGTAGTTAGGTGTCAGCATGTCGATCTGGCATAACTATATGACACCAATTTGTAGCTGCCAAAATATGTCATGTTGAAGTCAGCTACAGTACAGAGCTGATGAAATGGGGCTACAGGTACCTAGCGGGTTATCATTGTCAAAGCTGTCCTTGGGAACTGTCTGGTTCCCAAGCAGATAAGATTGTGTCTTCGAAAGGCTTGTATGTGAGTAACCTGGAGGGAAAGGAGAGGACGAGCATTGCACGACAGCCCAGCCAAGCAGCAGTAGGGGCTGGGTTCAAGGGCCAGATAAGAAGGTCATCCTCCTGCATTGGATTACTCAGTGTAGAGGGGTAATGGGACTTTCAGTGGTGACGCTGGGGAAATCTTAAGCTTAGCTAAACTAGACATGTGGATTGCATTGGGTTGACTCACAGAACTCCCAGACCTTCTGCCCACACAACGCCAGGAACAGCAAATGGCCATGTACTTCCAGGTCCCTCACTAACACACAAGTAGATTGCTACGTTCAGTTTCCGAACTGGCCCTATAACAATTCTATGCCCCTAAAAAGGGACCCACCCATACATGTCCTTATTTATTGCCAGTGGCCTCTGGGGACTGCATGAGCTATGTGTGAGACCCTATCTTAAAAAAAATCGATACAACAACAATCAGGTGTTTGACCCAACACACGTAAATGCCCCCCACTATAAGAGACTATCAGTGCAATCTTTGCTTAGATCGTCAGCACATCATAAACCCCCTTATTAACTTGTTTGTGTACTGACTGCTGTGGACTTGGCCTCAGCCACATGGAGGTTAGTATAATACACAGCAACCAAGATAAGGGGCAGCTTGCACACAACCTATCACAGAGCCCGTCTCCCTTTATCGCACCTCACGCTTCTATTATATGGCCCAGGATCACTCTCCAATTGTCTCATCTGCGTAAGCTTTATCTCCCTGAGGACAATTCTCACTCTTCAAAGGCAGGCCACAGCTTGGCACACCACAGCCTCACAGATCGCTGAACCTAGGAGAGGACTTTGTGGATCAAGCTGAATCGGAGTTCCCAGAAGAATGAAGGCATTGTGCTAGGCGCGTGGGAGGTACACGGAAAATAAAACATGCCGTTGGTGGTGTGCTTCGGGGCTGGGCCTTGGTTCGGACCAGCCGAGGTGAAGTCTCGCCACCTGCTTGCTAGGAAACTGTTCTCTGTCAATTGACTCTCTTTTTCTGTAGAGTAGCTACCATTGAGAGCCTGAGAGGGCTTTAGCACAGAGCTGTCTGTTGTCTGGTACACACAGTCTAGTTTCTGTTTCAGTGGCCATACCTAGTGCAAGGATGCTTTGAGTTTCATTTGTAGCCAGTGACTTAGGGGGTTGTGTCTTCTCACAACTCATGTTGTGAGATCTGTACTTACACAGTGTTCATTTATGTAAGGGGCTATTTAGTACAGTACTCCTTCAGGCAAAGATATGTTTCCAATATGGTGCCATTGTAAACACTGGTAGGAATAGTGGAACTTAGAAGGAGTTGAAGTGTCATATATATCACTTTGTCACTTGTCTGTCACACAACCTATACCACCCAGAGCTACACACACCAGGTAACTGTGACATGTTCACGTTTGACTCCTGGCTCAGCCTGTCATCAGATGTGTGAACCTGGGCAAATTATTTGACCCTCCACGCCTTGTATTCTAAAAAAGGAGGATAAAATTCTTTTAGGGGCTGGTGAGATGAGTCTGAGGAAAAGGTACTTGCTGCCATGCCTGACAAGCTGAGTTCCATCCCCCAGGACCCACGTGGTAGAGGGAGGGTGCAACGCCAGCAAGTTGGCCTCCACGCTCATTTAGGTGCACACAAACACACACAAGAAAATAAACGTAAACACATACCTCAGAAGTTTTGTTTAAGTAAATGGAGCCAGAGAGGCGGCTCAGCAATTATGAGCACTTACTGCCCTGGAGAGGACCCAGGTTTGAGCCTCAGTCCCCACCTGGTGGCTCACAGTCTGTAACTCCAGTTCAAGGGGACCCAGTGCCCTCTTCTGACCTCTCAGGGATCCTAGCAGACACATGGCATACAGACATGCGAGCAAAAATACTCACACATAAAATCACAAATAAATCTTTTAAACTTCACTGTCACAGGTAGGTGCTCAGGATAAGCCCCAGATCACAGTGTGTACTTCAACATTTTAGGCGCTTACTTAGTGGGATACAGGCTGCCCTTCAGAAGTTGATACATTTATCAGAATATCACACTGAAACAGATGTGGCCTGACTTCCAGGCAGAATGAGACTGAGGAATGGTGAACGAGCCAATCTAGAGGGCACAGTAGAACACACGGGCCCCTCTCCCCACCTCAGGGGACTCTTTGAAGGTCTGGGAACTCACATTCAGCGACTCTGAACAAGGACACATGCTCAGTGCTGGACTCAAGCAGGTCACAAGGCTTCAACAAATATTCTTATTTTAGGAACTGTACAAAGTCTTGTTAAACCAGATCCCAGAGACTCTCAAAAGGTGTTCCTCAAGGACACACAGAGATCCAAGGTCAGGTTTCAACACAGATCGGCCTTCCACAGTCCCTGGCTGGCTGCTCAGCCCCTCCCTCAGGTTCTCAGAGTCTGCTTCTTGAATCTTCCGCTGGCCTGAGAGCTCGACCCTCCTTCCCAGATAAAGACCCCACACTAACACCCCCACTTTTGTGGACCCCACGAATGCCAGTCTGGAACATGACTGTCACTGTGGCAAATAAACAGGACCTGCCAACGCTGGGTCCCACCTCTAGCTCCAGGGATGCTGCCAAAGTCACTGTGCAGGTTCAACCTCCTGGCACTCGCTCTTCCTGGTCCATCAAATCCCCCACCCCAGACCCCTAGGCCTTGAAGGTGTCTCCCAGGTACTCAGCCTGTGCTGATGAACTAACATGGGTACAGAGATTCTGTTCATGCCCTCAGAACTTCCATCATCTCCATCATATCAACGAAAGGAAGAGCCTCATTTCAGGCCCACATGAAAGGCTTTCTGGGATTTAGTCCTCACTTAGGAAGACTAGGAAGCCACAAATTCAAAAGGCCCCTCCCAAGGGCTATACAAACACTAGCAAACGCTGCAGAGGAGGAGACATTACAGCTGTCTGCAATTTGGGCACCTGGTAGGCTGGAAGTTTGTCTTCCCCCAAAAGTCAAATTACACTCTTACCAATGTTAATCTTTTGCTTGGTGGCATCATAATAGAGATTATCTGAATAGGAGATAAAACTCAACCAACAGTTTCTTGCTTTATTTAGTCTTAGGGACCAGGGAGATGGCTCAGCAGGGAAAAGCAATGGCTGTTCTTCCAGAGGACCTGGATTCAATTCCCAGCAACCACATGGTGGCTCACAATCATCTGTTCCAGGGGTTCCGGTGCCTGCTAGCCTCTTCAGGCTGACACCTATGTGGTACACAGATATACATGCAGGCAAAACACTCATACACATAAAAATAAAACAAATATTTTAAAGAAGTATTACTGGAATAAATACAATGTCTCTTCACATTCTTTCCAGTTTTCTTTAACTTATAGGACTTTTTAATGGAGCTCATGAAACAATCGAAACCCGCTGAATGGCACTGATCAATATGCCTACAGAATGTGCCCATCAACCATGGTTGTCACAGTCAACCACCACCGTGTACTATCTATGTGAGACTGGGAAACCCAAACTGAGCCAAGAAGCTCTAATCAGCACATGAGCAGAAAGCAAATGGCTGTCAGCAGTCCACAGGGAGGGTTGACTGACAAAGAGTTTTGACTCTGGCTGTCCAAGTGGTCAGAGGGCCATCCCATCCCATAGCCTTCCATTCATCTCCCAGTATTTGCATCAGCTGGGGCTGACTAAGGACTAAAGCTTACAAGAGGCCTTGACTGAAATTAGATCTAGGTCCCTGAACAAAGTCCAGGGATCCTTGGAGCCCCCCACCCCCCGTCTCTCCCTCTCTCCCTCTCTCCCTCTCTCTCTCTCTCTCTCTCACACACACACACACACACACACACACACACACACACACACACACTCACACATACATGCACTCTCTCCCACACACACACACACAGTACCTGTCCCATCTGGAGTTGACCTCACGAAGGTGGGCAGCATTTTCACAGCTGCCGTAGGGTGCGTGGTAGCTCCCAGCCCTTTCTCCATCTCCTTCCGGAAACGCCTAGAAATCTCCAGAAGGGTCTCATCTGAGAGACGCATGTGGTAGAGATACTGGTCAACCTGAAAGGGGGCAGGGGATAAGAATACGTCAAATGAGCTATAGTATAGATATATGTCATTAAAATACTACCCAGCCTTTCAAAAAACTCTAGTCAAGCTTGTCACCCAAGCACTCACGTGGCTGCGGCTGAGGCAGGAGGATTGCAAGTTCTAAGGCAGCCTGGGTAATACAGTGAAACCCTGTCTTTTTGTATTCTCTTGAGCTGGCAGTTGAACGTCCCTGTGCTGGAGCACTTCCTAGCATGTGCAGGACTATCTGAGCCCCAGCAGTTCAAGAAACAAGACAGCCCAACAGAACTGACCAGGCCCAAATTCTAGCACTTTGAAGGCTGAAGCAAGATCAGCTCAAAGTCATCCTTCTGCCCAGGTAAATCCAATTTAGGTTACATGAGACTGACACACACGCACATGCACACACACACACAAGTTAAATACTAGAGAATAGAGAAGTGGAAAACAGTTGGGGAATAGATTTTCAACTGAGTTATATTAAGACCCCAAAAGCATCCTATAGCAGAGGCTCATGGCCTCCCTCTTGCTGCCCAAACTGGCCTTCACCTCACATGGCCAGTCCTGTCGATGAGGTCACCCTCACCCCAGGGCCAGCAGCCATCACCTCCTCCCCAGATTTTACACAATCTCCAGTTTCTATTTTAACTCTTCTATCAGTTTTCCAACCCCCACCCAGACTCTTGGATTCTTGCGTTTAAAATCTGTTAGGTGTTTCCCATTCTCATGGTTTGAATAAGAATGGCCCTCTCATATATTGGAATACTTAGTCACCAGGGAGTGGAAGATTAGGAAGTGCAGCCTTGTTGGAGAAGGTGAGGCCGTCTAGGAGGAATTCTGTCACTGGGGGTGGGCTTGGAGGCTTCAAAAGTCCACACCAGGTCCAGTGTCTCCTCCTTCCCTCCTTCCCTTCTTCCTCTTCCTCTTCTTCTCTCCTCCCTCCCCTCCTCCAATGCCAAGCCTGTCTGATTCACACTGTGATGATCATGGACTAACCCAGTGAAACTGTAAGCCAGCCCCAATTAAATCCTTTCTTTTATAAGAGTTGCCTTGGTCATGGTCCGTTCATAGCAATAGAACAGTGACTAAGACAACCATTAAACATCCTAAGCCCCACATAAGCTGGCCTCTGCCCACCTCCTAACCATAGGGCATGTCTCTAGTCTTTGTGACATTCTTTCTCTGGTATAAGTCCAAGCTGTCCTCCCTAGCATTGAGAACCCTGAGTCTATGGGTGCACCCCATCCTGACAGCGCTGCAGACCTCTCTTCAGAGCCTGCCCTGGTCCTCCTGAAGAGAACAGTTAGGCCTCCCAGCTACTCCAAGGGCTCAAGCTTTTTCTTCCCCCATACCTAATCCACAGCTGGAAGGTTACTGGCCTTCCAGCTTAGTTAAACCCACCCAACAGGCATTTAACCCTCCCTAACTTCCTGAATACCACAGCTAGGAGAAACTAGTCATATTTTGTGACTTGGGGCTGCCTAGGAACTGACTTCCCAGAAGGGAGAGAATATCAGAAACCCTCCAACACAGACACAAACAGTTGGCCTGGCAGGTCAAAGGGGCAGTTTATCCTTTTCTGGACATTGTCACAAATGTGAAAAAGTCTCCAAATTAGAACTCTTACTTTACTATTTCCAAGGAGGTGAGAGATCCAGAAATCTCCCAGACACCTCCTCTCTACCATTTGCCAAGGAGGTAGACGAGATTCCATGTAGCAAGGGCAGAGCCTACACTGCCCTGGAGTCCCTCTGCCGCTTCCAAACTTAAGTCTACAGGAGCAAACTGCCCAGCAATCTCTCCGCTTGCAAGGTAAGTGCTTTACCAACTGAGCTGCCCCCAGCCCCATCTTTGAGGTTTTAATTGCTAATTGTTCTCATTCTTAACTCCAAGTTAAAAGGCTGCTCTTTATTGGAGACCTGTTACCCTTTGCTTAGTAGGTCATACCTTTCAGTAGCAGATAAAAATGCTAAGGGTAATGTAGCCATTAACAGTAGGTAAACATTTTTAGCATAGCTGAACCTAAGGCCTCACCTGACTTGGTCACCATTGTCTTTGGTATACCGTCCACAGACCTGGCTTAGAGATCCTAATGCCACAACTTCCTAAGCACGGCACAGGTGCCCATTCATTGCTTGGCAAGTGCCCTGCACTGGATGAATGGCAGCCAAGAGAAACGAAAATGGAAAACTAGGTGCAGCCTCTAGAAGTGAATGCAGTTTTCAGAATCCTTCCACTTGTCCCTCAGAGCACAGCCATAGATAGGGAAGGAATGCATACCAGCCTGGAGTCATGGAAGGTCTGCCCTCCCCTCCCCCAACCTAGATTTTACTTTTACACACAGCAGTGCAGACTCCAACCAGTCGAAATACATCCTTAGAAAGGGGTGCTCTAGTAGGTTGACCAGCATAAAAGTGTTTAGACTGTGTCTCTTTTACCCCAAGAGTTCCCTAGCCTCACGCTGAGTGCTTTGAAGCCTGCACCCAGCCCGCTATGTCCCTTGGTCCCTCACTCCCACTCTGGGACTGAGTTTAGAGCCCTGTCTTCAATCAGAGCTAAATCCGCCTCTGTTAACCTCTACTTGGTCTGCATCCTGCCACTTGTGATAAGCGTTCCCAAACTTGGCTGCAATCCAAAATCACGTGAGGTGCTTTCAGAAGCTTTTGTTTGTGTGTGTGGGGAGAGGGGTGTTAATTTTTTTTTGTTAACTTATATTAGTTTGGTGGGTTTTTTGTTTTGATTTTGTTTGAGGGAGAGAGAACAAGTTGGGTAGGGAGAGGTGGGGAGGATCTGGGAGGAGTTGAGGAAAAGTCATGATCAAAATATATTACATGAAAAATAATAATAATAATAACAATAATGATAATAATAACAAATAAGCCATAAGTGCAGACGGTGCCAGCCTGTGATCTCAGCACTTGGGAAGCATAGGCAGGAGGAATAGAAGTTCCAGGTCATCCTTGGCTACACTGAAAATTTGAGGATGGCCCGGCTCTAAACTTTCATCCCAGGCTGACCAAATGGACACCCTAGGGTTGAGGGTTCCAATATCCCCACCCTTCTCGTGGGCAGGTTCCTGCACTGTCAATAAGTGATCATGGCTGGACAGGTTCTTCTAGTCAGTGTTGCTTTAGGTTCTTTTCTTCTATTCTGCCAAGTCTTTTTGGCTCAAGTCTGTAACTCCAGCAACCAGAAACTAAAGCAGGAAAAACTGCAGCAAATTGGAAGCTGGCCCCAAGCTGCAGAATAAGTTCTAGACCAGCCTAGGCTAGAGAGTAAGAACTTGCCTTTTAAAAAGAGGAGCAGGGCAATGGGGGTTGGGGACAACTTCACCAGAAAAAGTACTTGTCTTGCAAAGATGAGTACCTGAATTCCACCCCCAAGAACCCGTATTTTAAACAGCCAGAGGATGTTAGCTAGAGAGATGGCTCAGTGGTTAGTTAAGAGTACTATTTATTGTTCCAGAGGACCAGGGGTTAAATTCCCAGCATCCCCATGGTGCCTCAGAACCCGGTAACTCCAGTCCCAGAGCATCCAACACCCTCTTCTGGGCTCCTGTGCACCAGGCATGCATATGATGCAGACATTCACAGATGAAACACCCATACATGACGAAAGAGAAAGAAAAAGCCAAGCATGATGCACACACTTGGAATCCCAGCATTGGAGAAGGAGACAGGCAGACACTCTAGCCTTTTTGGAAAGTTCCAAATCAGTGAGAGATTGTCTGTTTAAAAAATAAAATAAAATAAAATAAAAATGGATTACGATTAAAACTCAGTAATGCCCTATGGCTTTCATGTACATGTACACATACATGTGAGTGCATGAGAGTACGCACACAAGAAAAGAGCCAGAAGTTGGGACATTAGGCCAAGGGTGAAATGACCAGTGTTGATTGGATCCAGACTTGTGGTACTGGGAGAGACAAAGCTGGCACTTTCTGGGAAGAGATTTAAGTAGCTGGCACCAGGATTCAGTCCAATCCTGGATGCATAGCACACAAATTCCATAACATTGAGACGTATGATAGCATTTTCACTATAAAATGGGGTGCAGAGTCCCCCACAGCCAAGACAGAATGGAAGTGCCAAGCATAAAAAAGCTCTCCAACTGTCCCCTTTCCTTCTGCTCTTTCCTCTTCTAGAAACCTGTCTGCCAAAAGGAAGAAGGGTTCTTCTTTTGGCCCTGAAGAGGGCCAAAGGCAATTCTCAACACTACTTAACCAGACTCAAAGTTTAACAAAGCAGGACTCAGTTCCCCAAGACTGTTCTCTTCTCTTTCTGTGTTGGTGGGTTGAGGGCGGAGAGGAAAGGAGAGGATGCTTCCCTTTAGGTCTTTATCCAAATAAGAGGCGGAAATCCTTGCTGATGGGGGAGTCACAGGCAGGCCTGAGCAAAGCTGACTGGGGTTGGGGAAGAAAAGGCTGCCGGGTTACCCAAGGCAAGGGCGTGTCAGAGATAGCATTTTTAACTGATAGCTGTTCAGCAAGGCTGAAGAGATTAGAACTTCCTCCTCATTGGGCAATATAGGTCAGTTTCATTTCTCCCAGGACACCAGTTTGACATGACTCTTCCTTCAGAGTTAGAGGTGGAGCCAGGACAAACTCTAAAGTAAAGCAAATGCCACCCAAAAGGGAAGCCGGTATCATCCAACCTTTAAAATCCTCCACGGCCCCTCCAGACCAGCACAAATGGAGGAGGAAGCATGGAGTGGGCGTGGCACTTCACATCTATTATACTAGCACTAAGGAGGCTGAGCCAGAAGAGTTACAAGTTCAAGGCCAGCCTTGGCTACAAAACAGAAATCTTGGGAAGGACGAAACACAAAGACCACTGGACCATTTTAAATCAGCCGAATTGTTGAAATCTTCACTTGGCTACTCAATCCCTGGCAGGACTTGGTGTCAGGACACATGGCTGACGGATTCACCATACTTTCTGGTATAGGCCAGGGAGATGAAAACATGAAGAGCTTTGTCCTTTTGCCTT